TGGGCCAGGTGCGGTGGCTCACACCTGTAATCCCAGCACTTTGGGAGCCCAAGGCAGGCAGATCACTTGAGCCCAGCCTGGGCAACATAGCGAAATCCACTCTCTACATAAAATACAAAAATTAGCTGGGCATGTTAGTGCGTGCCTGTAGTCCCAGCTACTTAGGAGGCTGATGTGGGAGATTCTCAGGCCTAGGCAGAGGGATTATCCTTCTGTACTCTATTTCTTCAGTATTCAATATACTTAGTTCATTTTCATGATGGAAAGAGATTAAAAACTTTGAGACTGTTCATTTTGGACTGTTAGAAATATCTGAAACGTCAAAATGACAATAAACAGTAAACAATTGGAAATAGGCTTAGAATTAAACTCTGGGTTTATACACTGGAAACATTCAATAAATGTTAACTGAATTGAAGCTCTATCCATTTTTCTTCCCCTTGGGTCAGGATCCCAGAATCCTAATTAAATGTATTCGAATATTAGAAGTTTTACCATTATTTGAATATATTAATGGGAAACAAAAACTTCTTTCCCAACACAAAGAAACATTGATTTATTTCCTTAATACTTATATTATTTTTCTTATGTGGCAATTCTTGTTCAAGGGCCAAGGGTCTGCTGTCACTGCTTTTAAATATTTTAGGTAGTTACTTTTTTATTTTTATTTTTTTTGTCAGGTCTCACTCTGCCACCTGGACTGGAGTGTATGCTCACAGCTTACTGTAGCCTCGAACTCTTTGGTTCAAGAGATCCTCCCACTTCAGCCTCCCTAATAGCTGGGACCACAGGTGTGCACCACCATGCCTGGCTAACTTTTGTATTTTTTCTAGAGATGGAGTTTCCCCACATTCCCCAAGTTGGTCTCAAACTCTTAGGTTCAGCAATCTGCCCACCTCAGCCTGCCAAAGTGCTGGGATTACAGGCAAGAGCCACTATGCCAAGCCTGCTTTCACATTTTTAATGAAATAGAATCCAGAGGTGTATTTAACCTAGTAAATTTTTTTTTTTTCTAATAAAGACAAGGTTTTACTATGTTGCCTATGCTAGTCTTAAACGCCTGATCTCAAGTGATCCTCCTGCCTTGGCCTCTCAGAATGCTAGGATTATAGGTGTGAGCCACCACACCTGGTCTCACTTACTGAATTTTGATGGACTTTTGACAGTCCAGATATTTTCTAATTAAAGAATTTCTCTTCATTAGTCTAGTAATGCGTATGCTAACTGGGCCATGCCAGGTGCATTTTGGTTTAAAGATTGCTTCTTTGAGAGTCCAGAGTAGTATTTTGAAGAAAAGATTGTTTCTTGTTGTTACTGTAATAAACTGGAAACATATTCAAAGTGGGGGTAACATGAGGTGCTCCCTCTGCTGTTCCCATACCATGAGGACAGGAACTGTGTCCCCAGGATTCAGACTAGGACTTGATGTTTTATCTGGGTCAAGCATCTGTGAATACAGGAATGTGTGAATTCGTGTTTCACAAATTAGTTACATAAACTAGTGCTTCTCAGAGCATAGTGAAGTTCCTTAGCAATCTTGGCAAACTAGTGGTGGGAAGAAAATCATTAATTTCTACATTATTTACTGGATGATGGGAGGGTTGGACTGTCATTCAAAGTGAACAGACAGGCAGAAACTTTGGTGCTGTGTCATGAGGAAAGCCAAGGGTCTACCTACGGAAAGGAACTCCACACCAACTTTTCACAAGATCTAGAATTCCCACTGGAGCCCTTCCCTCGAGAGCCTGTTGCCTGAGTTACATATACTTTATCATGTGAACTTGAGGAATTATCCCTTTCTGAAGGGATGTTTCATCAGTTCATTTAATAGCACTGGTAGTAGGACCCCCTGAGGAAATGGAAGGTAGGAAGATGGGTTTAATATACATACATGGCAAAGGAATATGGATATAAGAAAAGCCCAAGGCCTGGAGCATAATCCTTGAGGGCTCTTTGGAATCCGGGAATTCCAAAGAGGAATTAAAAGCCTGAAGGAATCTAAAGGCCAGGGCAGTGTGGAAGGACCACAAAGTCAAATCAGGCCCGTCCTACAGGGAAGTCAATAGAATAAATGTCAAAAGAGACCACAAGAAAGGGCAATGTGATATGGCCTTTCACTCAAGGGAGTTGCCATGACAAACAGTGTCTGGAAAAAGAAATAATGATAATTATGGCCTAGTCACTGTGTTAGGAACCATTCTAAATGCTATGCATGAATCATTAACGCTTACAAAAACCTTATGAGATAAGTACAATGCCTATATTCGTTTTGCAGGTCAGGAAACTGAGACATAGGCAGATCCAAAGTCCCTGAGACTTCAGACCAGGCGTTCTAACTCCATAGTCATTAGACCTAAGCATTATGTTATACGGCCTGATGACAAGCTTTACGTATTTCAGGGCTTCTGGGAAAGACAAAAGAAAAACTAAGTGTATGCCAGGCAGAGCACAGTCTGTCTGTGATGCCAGATTTCTTCTACCTCATTATCTGAAGTCTTAGAAAATACAGAACATACTATGAATTGTCAGCACGTGGACACATAGAGGGGAACAACACACTTGGGGTCCTATTGGAGGATGGAGGCTGGGAGGAGGGAGAAGATCAGGAAAAATAACGCGTATAGGCTTAATACCTGGGTGGCAAAATAATCTGTACAACAAACTCCCATGACACAAGTTTACCTGTACTACAGATGTTTACATGTGCCCCTGAACTTAAAATAAAAGTTAAATTTTAAAAAATCATCTTGTTCTAAGATACTTGGCCTAAGATAACTTTGAGGACCCATATAACCCAAACCTAAATCTTTTATCTGACCCAGAATATTTTCTTAGGTTAAGGTTTCTTGAATGTAAGAGATTTTCTGTGGTGGTGTTATTGTTCTGAAGTCTTAGCCAAGAAATATTTTCTTCTTTTTCTTTTTTTGAGACAGGATCTCACTCTGTCACCAAGGCTGGAGTGCAGTGGTGCAATCTCGGCTCACTGCAACCTCTGCCTCCTGGGCTCAAGCAATTCTCATGCCTCAGCTCCCTGAGTAGCTGGGATTACCGGTGTGTGCCGCCACACCTGGCTAATTTTTGCATTTTCAGTAGACACAGGGTTTCACTATGTTATCCAGGCTGGTCTTGAACTCCTGGCCTCAAGTGACCTGCCTATCTTGGCCTCCCAAAGTTACAGGCATGAGCCAACATGACCAGCCGTATTTTCTTTTTAGACTTGCTACCTGAAATGTGGGTAGCTGAGCAGACTTTCTCAGTGGCCTTTGATCCCATTAGAGAGTTCTAAATGGTTTGCCTAGATCCTTGAATGAAACCTGATATTAAAATAACACCAAGTGGAAGCCGTAGGAGATTTGTATTGTAATATATGCCTTCTCAATAATCAAGATGCAGGGAAAATGAAAAGAGTTTCTGTTGATTTCATTTTTTTACTTGTGACTTTCCTTTCACTCTTGAGTGATTCATAACCCACATCTTCCAATATCAGGGACACAGCAAGACAAAAAAATCCCTAACTCCAAGTTGGGATTTTAGAAGCTGTCATAGCTTAGTAAACAGCAGCACTCTCTTAGATACTCCAAGAAAATTCAGTGACAAATACTGCTAATGAATTTTAATTCCTCAAAGTTCGGGTACTGCTCTGATGTCATCTTCCCACACTATTTTATCTTTCATGAGTCTTCAATCCATCATATTTGGCTTTTGTTGAGGCCTGACCCAATGACCTTATCTTTACAGATGGACTTGGGCCAGGACTGGGACCCTCTTTAAATTCCCTATTCTTGGTGCTCACTTGCTCAGGCACCACACAGGACACCAAGGGGTTGCAGAACTGATAAAGATATGGCCCTTATCCCTAAGACTGACAGTCCAGTGAGAGGTGCATACATGGACCAGTGGCTGTTATTGTCTCAAACTGTGGATTAAACTGTGCTATACATTTTCCATAGCTGACTACATAATGAACTCAAAGCAGGAAAAAAAGGGCATTTGGATATATGACTTTCTTTAAAATAACTTACAGCTTTTGCTGAAAACAATATTTAACTACTCTTCTATCAAACTCTCAGAATTAGCCTAGGGAAGGGTATTTTAAATGCCGTTTTTTACCAACTGGATAGAAGAATGAAACTCTCCATGTTTTTGTCTTCATTGAAAATAATAATAAATGCAGAGGTAAAAGTTTGTGGACCCTGAGTGGACTTACCATTGTACTGCTTTGAAAGTGCTTTCTTACCAGGCTCACTGGCTTACATCTATATCCCAGCACTTCAGGATACTGAGGCCTGCAGATCACTGAGTTTGAGACTGGGCAATATGGTGAAACCCCATCTCTACAAAATATGTAAAAACCAGTTGGGCTTGATTGCACGCCCCTGTGATCTCAGCTGCTCAGGAGGCTGAGGTGGGAGGATTGCCTGAACCTAGGAGTTTAAGGCTACAGTGAGCTGTGAGCATGCCACTGCACTGCAGCCTGGGTGACAGAGCAAGACTTTGTCTCCAGAACCAAAAAAAGTGCTTTCTTAAAATTAAACTTGCAGTCAGTCACATTGTAACTTTGGACAGAGGAAGTTAATATCCCCTTTGGTTTCTTAGTTAACTTATTGAGAATCACACTGTAAAATTTCTTCCTGATGATACCAAGATAGGAGACTGGATGATCTAGTTCATGCTTAATGGTCCTTAGTTCTACAGCTCAACTTTTAAGCAAGCATGATGCTTCACCCTTCTTATTTTCTCTCTCTTTTTGCTAAAGTCTGTTTGGGTGGTGGGGGAGCCATTCACCCAAGGTTGTCACTTGTTTGCTCTGTTTATCCTGTGGGGACCATCTGTATACAATATCTAGGGTATTTTAAATACAAAGGTCCATTGCATTCAAGATGTTTATTACAGAGCCTTACTGTCTTTATATTGTGTTAGATACATTTCTCTATTTTCAGTCAGTAGACTTTTAAAGATGTAAATAATTTTAAAATATTCTTTCTTCTTTTTAATTACAGAGCAAAGAGATTGCATTCCAACTTCATGAGGATTTAATGAAGGTTCTTAATGAGCTTTATACGGTAAGCACATATTCTTTCTTCTTTTCTAGAATTCTTGTGTTAGAATTCTGGTTTGTAAAACCACTGCTCATTGTAGTATTCATTCCAAGCCAGAGTGACAGTAGACCCTCATCTGGTTGAAATACAGGAAAAAGTGGATAGGGGTACACAGCTACATTCCTTTGCCACTCCCTCTCAATTTGGAGAAACCGTACTCAGATAAATTATCTATCTATCTGTCTGCACATGTATATACACAATTAGCACACTTTGGGAAACTAAAGTATAGATGTCTCCATAAGACATGCTTTTAACTGGATTGTATGTGATCTATACATGTATTGAATTCAAGAATATTTTGTTTAAAATTGATGCCATTGTGGCCAGGGGTGGTGTAATCCCAGCACTTCGGGAGGCTGAGGCATATCAGTTACTTGAGGTCAGGAGTTTGAGACCAGCCTGGCCAATGTGGTGAAACCCCATCTCTATTAAAAATGCAAAAATTAGCTGGGCATGGTGGCATCCTCCTGTAATCCCAGCTATTTGGGAGGCTGAGGTATGTTGAATCCAGGAGGCGGAGGTTGCATTGAGCCAAGATTGCACCACTGCACTCCAGCCTAGGCAACAGAGTGAGACTCTGTGTCCAAAAAAAAAAAAAATGTTGCTATTGTGGAACTTGAGCAATTTAGTTTGCTTTATTCTGGTACTTTTTTTTCTACATTTTAGTTCAATTAATTGTTTGGTTAATGACATTTTGAAATTACTTTTGAAAGATATCTCTTTTTTTGCAATAATTTGCATTTTTGACTTACATTTTATTTAGGGTACTTCATATAAGAATTAAATAATTTTAAATACTTTATTAAAAACAATGAAAACTAATGATGTTGCAAGTTGGAATTAGTAATATACTCGTAAATATTTTTTCAAACTTGATCAAATTATTAAATACAAATTTCTTTTGGGGGATATTTTAGTTTAAGAGAATAAAATAACATAATAAATGTGTAACATTAATTTGTACTAATGAAAGATATTTGAATTTTTATTGCACAATATTATTTGATTTTTTTTTTTTTTTTTTTTTTTTTTGAGAAGGAGGCTTGTTTTGTCACCCAGGCGGGAGTACAGTGACGCAATCTCCATCACTGCAACCTCCGCCTCCCAGGTTCAAACAATTCTCCTACCTCAGCCTCCCAAGTAGCTGGGATTACAGGCATGCAGTAGCATGCCTGGCAAATTTTTTTGTATTTTTATTAGAGATGGGGTTTTGCCGTGTTGGTCAGGCTGGCCTCAAGCTCCTGACCTCATGTGGTCTGCCCGCTTCAGCCTCCTAAAGTGCTGGGATTACAGACATGAGCCACCGTGCCCATCCTAAATTTTTTTATAGGCAGACTAAACCTGAAACTTGAGAACATGTTTCTTGATTCACCAATTTCATTTGTTCCTAAAAAGCCATGTGTGTAAAATACAGTTTTGTAAATTAAATTTTTAATGCTCCTTCCTTTGATACTTACTAATTAAAGAAAATTGTAAATTAAACTTTTATAAAATGACTCTTTATAAAATAAACTTTCTAATTTTTTTTTCTTTTTTGAGATGGAGTCTCACTCTGTTGCCCAGGCTGGAATGCAGTGGTGTGATCTTGGCTCACTGCAACCTCCGCCTCCCAGGTTCAAGCAATTCTCCTGCCTCAGCCTCCTTAGCAGCTGAGATTACAGGCACCCACCACCATGCTCGTCTAATTTTTGTATTTTTAGTAGGGACAAGGTTTTACCATGTTAGTCAGGCTGGTCTCAAACTCCTGACCTCGTGATCCTGCCGCCTTGGTCTCCCAAAGTGCTGTCATTATAGGTGTGAACCACCATGCCCAGCTACTTTCTAATTTTTGTATGAGTGTGATAAATCTATATTTTTATAAAGCATATTTACTACCTCTGTACGTATAAATTGAATTGGCAGTTTCTGTGTGTTAGTTCCTGCTTCAGAAACTTTTGACTCCCTATGAAAGCCTCAGGTTAAGAGATTACATCTATATACCAAATGCCTAATAAAACTGATTTTTACATGATAAAGGCCAATTTCTAGCTCATGCCTTATGCGATTTGTTAATTTCTGATACCCTAAGGTAGCAACCATTTCTAGAAGCCCTATAATTTACAAGTTAAATGACCACTGTACACCTGAGACTTCCAAAGAGGAACAAGCAGAAATTCTGCATTGTTTTCCATCGAACACTTTTAAGGACTTTGTGGCACTTTCCTTGTGGTTCCTTTTGCTTAGATCTTATTTTACTCAGAAATACAAATCATTTCCTAATATCTTAAAAAAGTAAGTCTGCTGGTTGTTACACTATCATGGATTAGAGCCTGTTGATTATGGTCTGAAACTAGTAGTAGTAATAATACAGGCAACAGTGGCAAAGATGAACTTGACCAGCAAATACAAAAAAAGTCAATAGAATGCCCTAAAAATTTTATCTCAGTGAAAGATATGTATGTATGTGTGTGTGTGTGTGTGTGTGTGTGTGTGTGTGTATACACACACACACACACGCAATGAAATTTCTCCTAGATCCAGCCTATCGATTGCACCTAGACATTTTGCAGACTCTGTAGCTTCAAGTAAGCAAGCTGACACCTCAAAACTCATCGATTTCAGCCTTAAAGAGCCAAGTTCTACCAAAGGCCACCAGGGTTGGAGTGACCCTGTCAGAGTCATTTAAGCTCTCAGAATTGGTTGAGGAATTAAGGGATGGGGGAGACAGGTAATGAGGTTTTAATTATGTCATCTGTAGATCACTTTGAGCTCCTGGGAAAAAAAATTACTTTAATCAGAGAGCATGTTCAGCAAGGCCAGAGGTCACGTTCTGTGGGGAGAGAACTTCATATCACTCATGCATACACACACTTTCTCTCCCTTTTTATTCTAAAAGGAGATGGTATTTGGTCTCTTTTGCACTTTATCTTCAGATAGACAAACTGTCTTGTTCAAATAAAATCTATCCATTCTATTAATACTTCTTCAGTTTACATTAGAGAAGGGGCAAGATGAGGCATATTTGAACAGTGAACCAACACTGGAGGAATGTGGGTTAGGGTCCACTTTCAACCACTCACTGGTATTTTGGTCATGAACAAATAACCTAGTTGCATTCGCAGAATTTTGTACAACTGATGATGTAATAGCGATTGCTGAAGTAGCAGGTATAAAATACATAGCCTCGGGGACTTGAGGATACTTTTTAATTGTCTTTTCTGGCAAATATTCACTCCTCACTTGCTCTCAAACCTTGACACTCCTTTGGGTTGAAAGCACTTGAGAAGCATACTAGCTTCCATATGCCAGTGGCGTACTTAAATTACAGTCAACCTTAGTGGTGGGTGACAACCTTATGTGTGGACTTCCTTACCCCAGAATATTGTTACCACAGCAATTGTTGATTATTTCAAACATTTTATCAGAAGGCTTTGTCTAAAATAAAATACATATGCCCAGGAAGAATAGAGAGAGATACCTTATGGTCATTTATATGTTAGAATGAACTGAGTTTCGCTAGCCCAGATTGTGTGGATGATGGGGTAGATATGATATCATATGACGATATGATAGATATATAATACAATAGAGTACAGGTTGTGTGGATGTGGCACAAAGCCCTGGATTTACAAGCAGGAGACATGATGGTGACATTAGAGTGGCTACTGAAAGAGGAGGAAAGGCTTTGAAGACTTGCAGCTCCTTTTCTATATTTTTGCTCAGTCTTGCCTTTATTTGCTGGAAAAAAAAAGGCCTCAATGGTTTTGAACCTCTATTTGAATTCTAAGGCCACTACAAAGGATAGCCAGATTAAGATTAGTTTAGTCGTCTCTGGGTGCAGTGGCTTATGCCTGTAATCCCAGCACTTTGGGAGGCCAAGGTGGGTGGATCACCTGAGGTCAGGAGTTTGAGACCAGCCTGGCCAACATGGTGAAACCCCATCTCTACTAAAAATACAAAAATTAGCCAGGCATGGTGGTAGACACCTGTAATCCCAGCTACTCGGGAGGCTGAGGCAGGAGAGTCGCTTAAACCCGGGAGGCAGAGGTTGCAGTGAGCCAAGATTGCACCACTACACTCCAGCTTGGGTGACAAGAGTGAGACTCCATCTCAAAAAAGAAAAGAAAAGAAAGATGATTAGTTCAGCCTTGAAGAACAAAGGTTCTCAAAATAATGGCATAAACCAAATAAATGTTTATATTCTCTCTCACATTAAAAAAAGACCAAAGACTGACAGTGCAGGCCTGGTATGGAGGTGACATAAAGCCATCCAAGACCCAAACTCCTCCTCCTGCTTTGTTCAGATAAACCCCATCTTAACGTTAGTCCTTAGAATTCAAAATGGTTGCTAGGACTGCAGCCATTATATCTGCAGAATGGAAAAAGGGAAGAAGGACCTTGACTCTTAAGGAGACTCCATGAAAGTGTCACACAAGACTTTATGTACATCTCATTGGCCAGAACTTAGAATATGCTCCCACCAGACTGCAAGGAAGTCTGTGAATTACAGTCCTGTAGCTAGTCAGGTCATTGCTAACCAGTTTTTTTTTTAATGGGATTCTGTTAATTTGAAAGGGAAGGGAGTTATTTGTAGCTAACTAGCTATGCCTGCCAGAGTAGCTAACATTTACCATGAGCTTATTATGTTTGTGCTAGTTATTGTGCTAAGCATATTATTTGCATTATCTCATGTAATCCTCACAATACCTCTATGAGGTAGTTATCCTCATCATCCTCATTTGACTGACGAGGACACTAAGGCTCAGAGAGACTTGCCCCAGAGTGCACAGTAAGGTGAGATCTCAAGTCCAGGACTGGCTGCAGAGCCTCTGCCCTTTACAGTCATTTTATCTCTTGCTGTAGTTGTAGGGAACTATTTTCTAAATAAGATCTCTAAATGTTAATGCCTCCCCCACAACACAGAGAACATAAGCAATTTATCTCCAGCTCATTTATAGTTTTAGAATCAATGGCATTAATGT